ACAGCCTTGTCGTCAGTATGTGACGGCCCACGAGGTGCAAAGTCAAAATATACAATTGCATGACACTTTCTGACTCAGCCTCTTCTTTGGTGAGGCCGTGTCGTATGAAGCTGCCCAGCATGTCGTTGTAGTCGCCCTTGGGCTTGCCCTGGCTGTCGAAGCGTTTCGCCGTCTGCTCCCTGGTGATTGCCAGGACCTTGCCCAGACCCAGTTTGCTGTTCGCCGAAGGCGCAAACAGCCCGAGAAAGCCAATGTTCGTCAGGAAGTCTATCACCTTGGGGATCGTGCAGGTGCAGAATATGTTGGGGAACATGGTCTCGACCTCGTGGATGTATCCCAGGTTGTCGTTGTCATCGCGCAGGTCGTGGAACTTTGCGTCGAACGAGAGCTTGCTCATGACGTCGCTCGTGAAGAACTGAATCTTGCGCGCCAGGTCCATGGGTACGGGCTGGTGGTCTCGTCCCGGAGAAGGCAGGTATTTGCGCTCGATCAGACGCACCAGGTCCAGCACGCAATCGTCAATGTCGCGCTCCAGCGCCAGGTTCTCCTTGCCCGAGTAGCCAGCCATCATGCGCCGGCGCAGGTCGTCGTGCTTTCCCTCGTCCCGCTGCGCCAGCACGTTGTCCTGGCCCGGGTTCAGCCGCATGGCAATGTACCAGTCCGCCCGCGTGTAGGGCGAGCGGACGGCCGACATGCGCCGCAAGACGTCCGGATCGGCCACCAACAGCGTATTGGGCGCGATGCGCACGAGCGGTCCATAGTGGCGGTTCAGCTCGCCGAACTTGTCGTAGATGGCGCCTTGGAGATGAAGTCTGAAGAGCGGGAGCACGGACCAGCCCCACGACGGAGGCCCGGGGATGTGCCTCAGCCGCTGCCATGATCTGACATAGGTGAACAGCACCAGCACGAGAAACAGGGTAATATAACCGGCAAGACTTCCAGCGATAGCAGTGGCCATGTTTTCCTTGGAGAGGAGGTTTCTTTGCCGCGTACACACGTTCAAAATGAAAGATGTGCTGGCAAAAATTCCAGCCGACGATAGCTGTGTAACACAAGGTGGAGTAGCAGTAGCGGTTGAAATCCACCTATTTGAACGGACTGCCGAAGGACGCCAACGGCTCCCTTGGCTAGCCTGTATGTAGCGAGTTTGAACGAGATAGCTACATATGCAGGCGATGCGGGGCGACAGTCAATCAATTGACAAGATAATATCCAAGGCTAAATTGGGTGGTCCTAAGCACCTAACTAATATGTTTCATGCACAATCGACTCTCCATCTCTCATGGGGCGGGCTTTTGACCATAGACAACATATCTGCCAGCGCCGTCAGGTTAGCAGAATTTACCGCAAAGAGGGACTCTGGATCCTTTCTTACATGGGCCAGTACGAATGGATTCTTCGGTCCTTGAGATCTTTCCTCACCTGCACCAGGAACAACTGCACCTCTTGGGGCGTCATGCCGAGCGCCATCGTCCACAGTCGCACGGTGAACCCATCCAGACCCTCGAGCATATTCGCTCGATTCCAGATACCCATGGCTTTGAGGTAGGGATCTCTGGCCCAGGGTCCGACCGGCCACCTGAACAATTCTTCTCTCACGTTGACAAAGCCTGCTTGGATTAACCAGTCTTTATACTTGGCGGTCCATGATGGATCGCGGTGGATTCTCCTACATGCTTCCATGTATAGCTCGTTCCACTCCTCCAGGGCGGTTCCTTGCATTGTATCGTCGTCACACAGCAGTGGCATATACAAGTCCTGGATCTCGAACCAGCCGCCAGGCCGCAAGGCATCAAAAGATTGTTGAAATAATCTAGGAAAATCCGCGCTCGCGGTAAGGAGCATCCGCGCGTGAATCAGGTCGAACTTTTTGTTATAAGTCCACTGCTGGTCGAAGTCATCGACTTCGAATTTTGCGTTTGGCGGGATTGAGCGTGGTTGGATAGGACTGATGTCAATTCCCAGGACGAGAGACTCGGGATGTGCATCGGCGAACTCGATGGCCCAGATTCCTGTCCCCGTCCCGAGGTCGAGGACTTCATGGACCCGTCCTTCGTCAATAGGCGCCAGAACCAACTTCCCTTTAAGTGCGCTCAGGAACATGACATGCTGCATGTCGAGGCGCTTTTGCTCCCATTCATCCTCGGGAAGGATATAGACGCCGTCTCCGTACCTGTGATAGAGACGTCCATTTTCCTGGACACCCTGGAAGAGACTTGACCTGACCGTCTCAGTGTAAGTGGATATGTCGTCGTCTCCGAGGGCCGAGTCGGCTTCATCCTCGTCGACTTCGATGCCGGCATTGGGTGGAGCTTCTTCTGGGGCCTGTGCTGTGCTCATGGCGCGAAGAGCTTTGGGGATCATGCACTTGAGTCAATATGGTCCGGGGGTTGACCTGCTGGACTGTGTGTACTGACCTACCGACACGTGAAAGACAGCGGAGGCACAGGTGCTCAACAACTGGTACTCGTAGAGGTGTTGTGCAAGTTCGTGCACATGGGAATCTGTGCCACGTGGAAATGACGTTGGTGAGCTCGACGATGAGAGAAGCGAGACCTGTAGAGTTCAGTCAGAGGTGAAGTGCTAACACGGTGGAGGGGCATCTTCCTCGGCGCCCTTTCTCGACGGGGAAGCCGGGAGGAAGCCTCACTCGCCTTTCACTCTGCACGTCTGAGTGGACAAGCGTGACGGTGGTGAAGGTGAGAGGTCAGCGAGTTTCGCCCTAAGCACCGCCTCCTCAGTAATAGTCACCATCCCGTATTGAAGTCCCAGAAGGCCTCACTAGCCAGCGACGAGCCAAGCTAGCTAGGGCTTGCTAGGGTGGCCAATGCCCTTCCCTCCGTCCCAAGCGATATGTCCCGTCCTCCCCTCCTCTCTCTTGTCCTAATTTTCCCATCCCCAATGCAAGCTGCTTGTTTCACGTTTCGCACCAAGTGGCATCAAGCCGTTCCCTAAGCAGGTCAGTCGCAGGGCCGCGTCAACCTCGTTGTCCTTGTGACACCACTTCACTTCCAGAGTCCTTGTCCGGCTCCCGCCATCCGACATCCGAACGCCCAATTTCTATGGCTTGACTATACCTTCCCCTTTCACTCTTAGGACTTCTGTTTCTTCTAGAATGGAGGTAGGTACCTGGTACGATGTCAACCTGGCACGCAAACTCGACCTGCCGACCTGCATGACACCAGAACGCCTCAACTGTGCAACACCGCCCCGTTCTACCCGCTTCGTTTGGGTCCCATTGGTTTGTTGACACCAAGGTGTGTTGGTCCCACTTCCATCCCAGAGCCTCATTTTCCTCTGGTATAGTGACAACACGCTGGGACAGTTTCCCGTGTCACCCGTCCAGCCTGCAACGTCACCTGGCGCATGTCGTTGCGACGGTAATGCTCGTGTTTGAACTCAAACTATCCAGCTCAGCCCTTAGGTTTCCATGCAATTCATACTGCCGTATCTCCCGAAGGAATCCCCTGGGTTTACTTCACGGTCCCGCTACCATCTCGTATTCGACGCCTGGAGACGTTTACCAGCGGCATTGTCGGTCTTTCGCACATGGCATGTCCGTCACGAGGCCGCGGTGCACTCGCTGTCATGTCGGCACCTCATCTAGCACTAACGTCTAGGATACATCGAATGAGCCCAGTCTATGCACCACGATTCAAGAGTCAGCCCTGCAATGCAAAAAGGACGTAAAGATCCCACTCGGTTGGAACCGGTCAGCAATCCTTGCTCATCAAGAGAGCCTAACAGGGTCCAACTGAGGTAGCATAATCGCTCGACTCTGCGGCGGCTTGAAACTGCATTCATTTCGTCGACCTCGAGGCTCAAGGTCAGAAACCTTGACATTGGCCGCTGGGGAAGAGTCTTCGAAGGGCGCCTTCTGCGACGAAGGATACGAAGGATAACCTTGAGACTCGGACAGAAACTTTCGAGGGAGACTTTCGCCCAATTTGCCCATATTCTCATAACCGGTTTGGTGCTTTCCTTCTTCTTGGCGTTAACGGGGCTGTCTCAATCTCGAGAAGCAATGTGTTTACTTTGCCAGACAAGCGGAGTTGCAGCTCAAGCGCGACCCTGGAGATCAGACTCTCTGGTCCAGACTTCGGTACGTTTGTAGATTGCAACCCATGCTTCCTCGGTCGTACGATTTCGTCAACCCACGTCTGAACCGGATCGGGATTACGGAAGCAAGGAAGCATTCAGACCTGGGTCGATTTTCACGGTTGCTATATTGGAAGATGAACGTGGGCAAGAACTGCCGGATCATTAGCCATATCTCTATTGACAGTAGGTCAAAGTCACTCTCTTCTGCAAAGCTTTCTACTGGTCCGGCGGATGGCAGTCTGTCGAGTATGCCCACAGGAAGGATCCATCATCTATGCGAGGCTGGGTAATATCTCGCATGAAGCCAGGGGCACCACGAGAGACCGCAAGTCAAGAATCCCACCGCACCAGGCAAAAGAGCATGATGCATTGCTTCGCCTGATCCGGTAGTGATCGAGATCGTTCGCACTCTTGATTCCATCATTCGAGCCGGCCTGTGTCGCATTCTTGGGTGTGGTAAGCCGCTCACATCGAAATCGCACAAGAGATCCAGGCAGGGAACACGAGCACAGGTCGCAATTCAGTTTAGCTTGCGCCCTGATGAAGAGAGAAAGAGAGAGCAAAAGGCACGCCCTACGGAAATGCGCCGTTGTTTGCTATTCCGGTCCCCTCCTGACATTACTTCCATCGAAATGGGATATGCCCATTTTGCCCTTGCATGGGCAGAACAACATTTTCCACCCTTTTTTTTGGGGAATAAGAAGAACGTCCCGTGAGCACCTGATCCATTGAAACATGTCCTTGCCCTTTTCCGCGCTGCCCGCTCCTCCGAAACACGAAGCAAGCCTGGATGGAAACCTACCTACCAACCTAGAGGAAGCCCAACCCAGCAGGCCATGCTGACCGCCAGCCCCGTTGCCCCTGCTTCGTGCCCTTGTTCATTCCTGAGAAAAACGTCATTATTGATCGCTGACGGCAACCACAATCTTGCCCTTGGCATGCCCGGTCTTGAGTTTCTCAAACGCCTTCGGGGCGTTTTCCATGGGGACGACCTCGTCCACCACGGCCTTGACCTTGCCTTCTGCCATCCACTCCCCAATCTGCTTCAACTGCGCCGCGTCGCTGGCCACCATCATCATGCGATACTTGCGCTTCCCACCGCCCAGGAAGCCTGGCCAGACCATTTTCAGGATCAGCTGCAGCGCCGCGTAGCCGGAGAGACCCATGCCGACCTGGACATATTTTGCCTTGGGGGACGTGAAATGGTGACACTGCCAGTATAGCTTGTCCAAGTTGCCCACATTGTCGACCACGAGGTCGAACTTCTGGCTGTCGTCAGGGGACGGGCCACCGGCACCACCACTACCATTAGTAGCAGCAGCAGCAGTAGTAGTAGTAGGAGCACTGGCGGTGGCCATCTTCTTCAAAGCCCCAAGAATATCTTCCTTTGTATAATCCAGCACCTCGTCCGCGCCCAGGCTCTTGCACAGCTCCACGTTTTTGCCCGAGCAGCTGGCCACGACGTGGCATCCCAGGGCCTTTGCGATCTGAATGCCCCACGTGCCCGTGCCGCCACTGCCTCCGTTGATGAACACCCTGCTGGGCCCCTTATCGCCTGTTGCAGCAGCGCCTTTGTTGACGTTCGGTGCGATGGCCTGGTACGCCGTGAGGCCGGCGGTGGCGACGCACGCGGCGTCCTGGGTCTTGACACCTTCTGGCACGACCGCCAACGCCGCCTTGCGCGCAACGGTATACTCAGCCAGGGTGCCGAAATGGGTCGGCTGCTCGAGGCGGCCAAACACCAACTGTCCGACTTTGACGTCGTCACCACGCTGCGGCGCAGAAGCAGCAGAGGCGGGTTCGGGCACAGCGACGACACGGCCCGCGAAATCCAGCCCAGGCGTCGCGGGCGTCTTGATCGCCAGGCGTCCGATCAGCGGCATCTCGGCAATCTTGTAGTCGACCGGGTTCAGCGCCGCCGCAAGCACCTTGACCAGCACTTTGTCCTTGCCCAGTGCCTTCGCATCGTGCGGCGGCAGCGCTGCCGAGTTGTTGAGCTTGAGGTTCTTCTCCAACCCGCCGTGCGCGGATGTGAATTGCCACGCGCGCATTGTCTCTGGGAGTTGCGGCGCCGCTGGGGTGGATGACGGAGGAGATGAGGATGCCATTCTCTGTTCTCTCTTCTCTCTCACACACGCTCTTAATGGTGTTGTTTGTGACTGTGTGGCCGAAACTCCGAGTCCGGATATGATAGATCAAGTCAAGTCAGGTCGATAGGACCGCCCACTCTGCGTCAAGGGTCCAGCTCTGTTTCGACCTGTGGTTTTGCGAGGGTACCACCGCGTACACAGTACAGGGAATATGTAAGAATCAAAGTTCGGTTGTTCCACCTTGCTGGTATGTAATACCGACACGTAGCCAAAGAGATGGGAACACATGCCACCCAGAATGCTACCTTTTATTGTCGTCCGACTCAACTTACCAGGAGATTCTTGGCTGCCTCCTGGTCCATCCGTATCGAACTTGCTTGCCCAGCTGTGGCCGGGTGGGGTGGTGTGATAATGGTGCCAGAGATGCGCACAGCACATGTCGAGCAAGACAAGATGAATGGCGGCATGTGTACGTCATCGTCATCATCTCTCCCGACTGGCTCGCTAGGGTCGTCGAGCTGATACACGATACTGAACCTCCGTCTGTGTGCAATATCGACTTGTCTACAAAAACAGTATTCATTTCATCTACATTCGGAGGCTGGAATGCGAAACAACGGATCAACGGGTCCCAGTGTGTGGATGGGGGGGCAGATGAAAAAGATCCTTCCACACTCAAAGCAAATACAATACATTAAGACCTACTGCTGCTCCTCCTGCCTTAAGAATAAGCACCCCACACTCTTCACCGGAAGACACGGTCTTCCCAATCCACTGCCTATGCCAGGTCAAGCCTTGTTGGCCTTGTAAATCGACAACCACCAAACTTTGCGCCACTTGGTACAAACCCCAGCCACAGACAAAACAGCAGGATGCTAGTAGTCTGCACCCTTTACCACTCTTTTCGGTGTCCACTGTTTTGTAGCGCGTGCGGTGCTCAGTTCATGACCTTCCCTGCGAAGTTTCATTCGAGAACAGCCACTCCATGGCCAGAAATTGGTTGAGCCGTCACCCGTCGCATTACGTCGGTCCGAAAAAGGTGATCTGCGGTGTCTCTGAGCTAGTTTATCTTCGCAAGCAAGGCTGCACATTCGTTGACCCATTGGGCTATCTCTGGTTTCTCCAGATAGACGTCAGTGTACTCCTTCAACTTCGGCATTTTCAGATAGTCATCTAGATCGATCTCGTCCTTCCCTGTCGACGCATTAAATCGATAATAAGAAGTCCTCCTAGTCGGGTTGCGCTCGTTGCGTTGTCGCATGTTCCGATCAAAGTCACGATGCTTGGCTTCAGTGTTGGTCACAAAAGCGACCGTCTTGGTGATGGTGTTGAAGAACCTCATGATACCGGATCCAGGTCGTTTGTTTGCGTCATACTCGGGGTGTGTAGTTCCCAAGCTCACGATACATTTAATTTGAGGAGATGGAGCATCGCGCGAGACGAGGTCAAATCGATTATCCCACGCTTGTACAATGGGGTTGTTGTTCAGGAGACCGCCATCCCAGAATTTTAAATTTTGGATTGTGGCCTCCTTGAGATATGTGGGTGCAGCGGAAGTTGCGCGAGCCGCTTCTTTGATGGTAATAGCCTTGAAATCGAGGGTCCTAGCCCCTGTGGAAACCGGAAGCGGTGCGAAGGGGGGCTCATAATTACGCAGCAGGACGCTCTCTCCTCTATCGGCCAATGTCGCACACATAAACCTAGGTAACTTAGTCTCCAGCACGTCGAAGTGGGCGAACTAGAACAAGGCGCTTACATCTGTCCTTGACTCGATTTGACGAGTACAGCATCTCCCTTTCTAGCTCGGTCATCGTCGTCCAGAGGAAAGCCACCAACTACGGCGTCGATTGCCTTCTCGAGCGGCTGATGGGAAAACTGGGATCGACCAACGACGGCTTTGAGCTTCAGCCAGATGTCCCCAATCCAATTCCCGAAAGATCCAAGGCTATTGAGAGGAATTTTTCCAAGCATCGGCTGGAAGACCTCCTTGGCCAGGTTTTCGTATTGCGCAATCACATCGGGGCAGTTCATCTCGAGGCGAAATAACATCAGGGCAATAAGCCCGCCGGTGCTAGTTCCAGCCGCTAGATCGAAGTAATCAACAGGCTTTCTGTCTCTAAGATCAGTCGGTTTGCCTTTCTCGGTGTTCGCCTGGTTTTCAAGGTCGCGGATTCGTCTCATCTAAGACACAAATTAAAGTCAGTTTCCTCCCTCAAAGTCTGGCTACCAACTCATGTGTTCCCGAACAGGCCATTGATATGCGTTATTGTGTTGACTCACGATTTTGTCGAGGATAATCACCGACGATATCCCCTTCACACCGCCACCATCCAAGGCCAAAATATTATAAGCATCGGTTGATCCGGATTTTGGAGGAGGAATCCTCGAAGGATCGCCATTCGAAGACATATTGGCTGATTCTGATTGAATATCTCGCTTTGATGCAGATCCGCGGGCCCGTGATAGAGATCTGTTTCTTCAAGAAGATGCACTGCGGGTCGAAGGCTGAAGTCAATATAGGCGAGCTTTGGGTGTAGACCCCAGACCAAGGTCAGGCTGACTCCGTGCACCAACAATATCCTGAACCGGGAGGGACGTTGGTCCAAGCGCTGATCAGGAGTTGGGACTCCAGGGAGTGGTGCACAAACTGGTGCTTGGGATGGAGGATTACTGGCACAGGACAACATGCCCTGAATATACCACACGAGAATGATGCCGGTGAATTAAGGCTTGGAGTAGAAATGCGTACCAGGGTTGAGAACGCTTTTGCTTAGGGCTGTCTGGAGATGCCATTTTACCTGCAGGCGAAGGTGATTGAGACATGGCAGCAATAGGGGTGGGTGGCTACTTCCATCTCCGGTCGCAAGGTATGGCGTTTCTTGCGACTGTGGCACTTGCCAACATACGAGTAGGTCCGGGTAGTGTGTGATCGCTTCTCGAGGGTCAGGCGTCGTTGGCTGATGGGCTCACCACTTGGTTCAGCTCTCAGCCTCACACGCCTCGTGTATGCCAGACCCTTTGTCCAAATATGACCACGTGCAACACAAGCACTGACCAATCAGTTGTTGTTCAGACCCCAGCAACCACATCACAAGGTGTGAAGGGTTTGCCAAAGGTCCGGTGAGAGTTTCGACATTCCCTTTGGACTCTTAGTGGCCTTCCAGAAATGCTCCATCCATCCGTCCCTCGAGCAATGCCTCAACATCAACCCGTCCGCCAGCGAGGTATCTCTCGCTGACTCCCAAGTTGATCCTCTTCTTCAACATTTCGTCCAACTGAGACCGCCATCGAGAAAGCTGGTCTTTACTAATGGCAGCGTTGTTCTTTTCCTTCTTTACTCTTCCGCCGCCTCTCCCCCTTTTGCCTCGCTGGCTCTGACTTTCGAATTCTTCACTATCGTAGTCCACTCCCAATTCTTCCGCGGCAGATCGCAGCCAATCTTCCTTGCTCGCTGTTTTCTCCTTGGCCTGGGTTGCTTCGGTGATCTTCTGGGCGAGCGACAAGTGTGATTCCAGCTTTTGCATGAGTCGTCCCTCTAGTGGAATTGTCTCGGGTGCCTCGTCACTCTTGTGCACCTCGGCGATCAATCTTCTCACTCCAGCAACTTCATCAGGAGAACAGAGCAAGATTGATTGCCCTGGCATCTCGGCACGAGCCGTTCTTCCGGATCGGTGTACATACATATCTGCAGTGCGGGGCACGTGGTAATGAATAATTAGATCGATCCCCTTGATGTCGAGTCCTCGAGCTGCAACATCTGTGGATACCAAGACGTTGCTCTGGGCTGCAAATCTCTCTAAAGATCGTAGTCGGGACTTTTGTGGCATCGTCGAGTGCAAGCCGACCGCAGGTTGCTTTAAGGTCTGAAGCAACACCGTCACACGCTTAACGGCTGAAATGCTGTTGGTGAAAACCAACGTCTTTTTGTTGGGGTGTTGCATTAGCAAAGTATAGAGAAACAGGTCCTTCTTCATTGCGGGACTTTCCACGATCGATTCAGAGAGCGTGGCAGCCATCTGCGAACTGGGATTCACATCAACGAAGGTCGGCTTCTCTTCGCGGAACGAGAGCTTCCGCAACAGGTACTCCATCGACTGGTGATTGGTGAGGAGGTTGTTATTCATCCGGCCGGCAGACTTGAGCTTGCCTGTGAGTTTCTGCTGTAGCCCCTTATGGAACGTAGCGGAGAATACAAGGGTCTGCCGGCTCGAATTTGGTGAGTCTTGCGCCGTAACTTGGTCCCCTTCCTCGTCCACCATCTTCCGGTCAAGGGTATCAAGAATGTTCTCGACTTCTTTGAAATGGCCTTCACTCAATAATCGATCGGCTTCATCCACTACCAAGAACCGGATCTTCTTCAATCGGTCCACCAATGCGTCAACATCGTAATCGGTAGAAGCATCATTCATGATTTCCCACAGTCGCCCCGGAGTCGCTACCACAATATCGGCATATTCCAGCTGTCGGTGTTGCTTGTAAATGGAGAGTCCGCCGGTCACGGCGACAATTTTGGGATGGTCTTCCAGGCCTATACATAGCTCATTCAGATGCCTATTGAGCTGCAATGCTAGCTCTCTGGTAGGTGCCAGAATGAGAGCTAGGATAGAATCCTTGCTGTTAGTTGAGCCATTTGGTACCGCATTCTCCCTCCAAAGCCAATGTTCAAAAAGCGGAATGCCGAACGCCAATGTCTTCCCAGATCCAGTTACTGCCTTGCCAATCACATCGTGGCCTTGCATGATCGGCGGAATACTGGCTGCTTGTATGGGCGTAGGGCGTGCAAAGCCAAGTCGAGAAAGCTGCGAAAGCGTTGGCGGAGATAGCTCAAGATGCTTCCATGCCGCTACATCTGTCTTGGGATCTTCGGAGTTCTCCAGCAAAACGTCAAACTTGACATTGGGGACGACCTCCTCTTCTTGTTTGGCTTTGGTCTTCGTTTTTCGCTTATCGAGGTCTTTGGCTCTTTTTGGAGCCTGTAAAGTGTCATATGAAGAGTCTGATACCGCAATCGGTCTTGGAGTTTCTTCCTCCACCATTCTATCTCCGTCGTCGAAACCCTGCCATTCTTTCTCAAGCTGGTTACGGTCGGTTGGGTCATCCACAGCTGCGAGTGATCTCGGTTGAAACATCACATGATGAGTGGTCTCATCTCTGACAACGTCGACATCCTCAATCTCTTCAAGTCCAAAGAATCCCTCGGCGTCCTCCAGTCTCTTCGGCAAAGGGACTGTTTTCCATTTCAACGCGTCGCCGCGAACAGCTGGCCCGCTATACACTCGACGCTTTGTCGACTGAGACAACTTCTGTCTCTTTTGGCCATGCTGGACTGCCAATGCCCCTTTCCTCTTTGCTGTCTTGGACATTTGGGTTCCGCTGATCCGGTTCAGTGTAGAGGTCTGGGAAAGGGCGGGAAAGTCTTTAGGGAGAGAAAAAAGTTTTGGATCGAAGAATTCTATCCTGTCTGACAATAAATTAATGCTGTTCTGGTTGACTATAGAGAGATCCTTCGGCAACGGTTGAAAACGTCGTTAAAAATGTGGTACGGGGACGAGTCGCTCTGGCAAGAGGTGAGTGTCTCTCTGATAAGTCTAGTACTAACCTACAAAGATCTCACTATGCATCACCACGGATTTGGGCATCGCATGCTGTCGAGAAATCAAACGTCAGATGAAAAGACTTTTTTGTGCGATGTCTTGGCGTGACCGATTTTACCCGAAGCATCGACTTGAGCCTACAAGACGTCGGTTCAATATTTGATTTCTATTGTTTCCGCCAGGGCAGCTACATTCGAGTATCTTCCTTTCTCCTCTCGATAATCTGTTTGTAAAGAGCATTCTCAAAATGGCCCACGATACCTGGCAGAGCCCCTTGGCGGCTCGCTATGCCAGTGGGGAAATGCTGACTTTATTTTCAGCTCGAACTCGAGCAACGACCTGGCGCCAACTCTGGATCTGGCTCGCTGAAGCGGAGAAAGAACTGGGTCTCGATATCCCGGATGAGGCCATTGCCCAGATGGAGGCGGCTAAAATCATGACGGACGATGATTTTCAGGTCGCGGCCGTAGAGGAAAAGCGACGACGACACGACGTTATGGCCCACGTTCACGCCTTTGGTCAACGCGCACCTGCAGCTGCTGGGAAGATACATTTGGGCGCCACTTCTTGCTACGTGACAGACAACGCGGACTTGATATTTTTGAGGGACGGACTGTCGATCCTGTTGCCGAAAATAGCCAAGTGCGTCAAGAAGCTGTCAGATTTTGCGCTGCAACACAAGGCCTTGCCTTGCCTAGGATTCACCCATGGACAGCCCGCTCAACCCATCACAGTTGGTCGTCGGGCTACACAGTGGATTGAATCGCTACTCATGGATTTGAGGAACTTTGAACGCGCTCGTGCGGACCTTGTCTTCCGAGGCGTCAAAGGCACCACGGGGACCCAGGCGTCCTTCCTGGAGCTATTCCATGGCGATCACGCAAAAGTCAAGCAGCTCGACCAATTGGTCACCCAAAAAGCCGGCTTCAGTAAACGCTCCATTGTCTCGGTACAGACCTATAACCGCAAAATCGATTTTGACATCGCCAATGTCCTTGCTTCATTTGGCACCACGTGTGAGCACATCGGCACGGACTTGCGGCATTTGGCCATGTTAAAAGAAGTCGAAGAACCCTTTGAGAAGGACCAAATCGGTTCGTCTGCCATGGCTTACAAGCGCAACCCCATGCGCTCGGAACGTATGTGTTCTCTTGCTCGGAAGCTGGTTTCGCTCGCATCTGGGTTCGGGCAAACGTACGCCCACCAGTGGTTTGAGAGATCGTTGGACGACTCAGCAATCCGACGTGTTGATATCCCCGAGATGTTTCTGATAACCGACGCACTATGCATTCTGCTTGAAAACGTGTCTTCCGGCCTGGTTGTGTATCCACAAGTCATCAGCGCCCGCCTGCAGCAAGAGCTTCCATTTATGGCCACCGAGACCATGATCATGCGCATGGCTGAAAAGGGCGCGAGTCGGCAAGAAACCCACGAGCAGATTCGAGTACTGTCTCATCAAGCCGCGGCGGTCGTGAAGTTGCAAGGTCAGGCAAACGATCTCGTTGACCGCATCAAGAACGAGAAGTTTTTCGAACCTATCTGGAACGAGTTGACTCCGGAAGATTTACTAAACCCATCGAAGTTTGTTGGCAGGTCGGCGGAACAGGTTGATGAATTCGTGGAAGAGGCAGTCGTGCCGGCCTTGGAGCCGTATAAGGACCAGATTCTGAGCAGCGCGGCTGCAGATATTCACGTTTGAGTGAGTGGTAGAGGGAAGTTCCATTCAAAGTTGTAGCATGGCCTTGTTCCGCGTTGGCTCCCTCGTAAAGATGCAGCACTGTGGCATTCGAGCCTCGCAACTGCGCGAGGACAGAGACATGTACCAACCGTGATACCTAATCACCCCTGAGAAGGCGAGGGCCTGGTCTCAGTTTAAGATTGGAAAATTGATGTTGTCAAGTCATATCTTGAATCATTTTCCACAGCCTCCGCTGCTTTTCCATCATCTGATCGTGAGAAGGATCCATCGCAACAGGATCCTCCTGAGTCGCATCCGGAACATCCGATATCCCAATCTTGCCCACATCTGCCAGGAACTCATCAACCCTCTGCTTCATCTTGTCGCACTCGTCAATCTCTCTTTGTCCTTCTTCTAAGATTCCCTCAAGCATTTCCTTGACACTCTCTCGTGCCTGATGGGGGCGGTAGATGTTAATTACCACGTGGATGTTCAAGAGAAGCTGCCTGATGTCCTCCATCTTTTCTTCGTGCTTGGTCGGGTCGAGGGACAGGACACTCGTGAGTTCCAGGAAGTTTAGCAGCAGGGATTTCGTGAGACGACTTAGAAGGACAGCATGATTGAGATTTGGGTCGTCTGGATTGAACAGAAGCTGTTCGGTAGGCAAAGATGAGGCCTTCGTCGGGTCGATGACCTGCTTCTGGCCGAAGGATGTATAGTATTCTGCAGAAGCCGGCGGGGGAGGAGGTCGCAGGTATGCCAGATGAAGGGGGAGTTTCTGCTTCGCCTGGCCGTCGGCAGATGACGATTCGATCTTTCTCAGTTCATCCTCGTTGGCGACTGTGAAATACCTCCAGAAAGGTGGAGGAGCAGGGAAAGGAGCCTCCGGCAACTGTTGCGGGAGTTCTTGATCTGCCATGATGGGAAAGGCGCGTGGTAACGAAAGGAAGAAGATGAGGAAGAGCCGCGGAAGGATGGTAAATCGTGGTTTGCAGCCGGCCAATGAAGGCGGTCAATTTGCGGGGATCGCATTTATTGTAGGCACCTTTCGACTTTCTATCGTCTCTCGTATTCCTCACCTCTTTATTTCCATCCCAATACCATCCAAATCGCCATGAACATGATCTGTCGCTGATTCTCGGATACTCTTTGTCTTCACAGTCATGAGGCAGGGAAGTATCGATGCGCCTGGGATGGTAGCAGCCACCCGGCGCTTCTGGCAACGGTCGTATGCATCTGATTATGTTGGATTTGCCCTGCTTTTGGCAGCGTATATTTGGGTGAGTGTTCGTTCTTGCGGCCGGATATCGCCTGCTTAGACGCCTAGGTGCAATTCTTCTTCGAACCAGTCCATCAGATGTTCCGCCTTGACAACCGAGCAAAACAATATCCTCACGCCCTCGTCGAAAGAGTCTCTGCTGGAGAAAACATCCTGCTCGCTGGAGTAGGTCCACTCGTGGTTCTCATCATTTGGGCCGTTGTCGTGCGACCGGGAGTCCATCATGCACACGTTACGATTCTGGGACTTTTGATTAGCCTCTTCCTTGCCTCACTCCTCACCGATATCATCAAGAATGCCATCGGCCGCCCACGCCCAGATCTGATTGCCCGCTGTAAGCCAGAGGCGGGAACACCCGAGCACGAACTTGTCACCATTGTGGTGTGCACCGAGACTGATCACCATACTCTCCACGATGGATGGCGCAGTTTTCCAAGTGGCCACAGCAGTTGGGCCTTCGCAGGGCTCGGATACTTGGCTTTGTTTCTGGCGGGCCAAATGCATGTCTTTCGACCGCATGCAGACCTCGCCAGGATTTTGATTTTCCTGGCTCCCTTGGCCGGCGCTGCACTGGTCGCAATGTCGCGATTAGCCGACTACAGACACGATATCTACGACGTTACCTGCGGCAGTCTCTTGGGCATGTCGGTGGCATATATCACGTATCGACGATACTTCCGCCCCCTCAGACATCCCAAATGTGACGTGCCCTATCCAAACAGGGCCGACTATGCTTTGGCCAGAGCGGCAAGAGCAGCCAAAGCCAGACCCAGAGATTTGGAACAACAATTGGAGGACGAGTTTTCGTTGAGTGACCATTCTGAGGATGAGTCCGAAGCATATCTTCTGACGGAGTCGGGCCCTGCTAGGACAAGGGACCATGTTGAGACGGCGCAGCCACCTTAGTTTGGTGCTTGTTAAGTCATACATATTATCATCTGCGACTAAAGCCAAAGCTCTTTTTGTACGGAGTATGTCATCTCGCGTTCATGAATCGTGGTCTTGCTTTCCTCTCTTGCGAAGGCTAATATAGCTCGATTAATGCGTTACGTAGTTAATTGCCTAAGCGTCTGCCTGTGCCTCCAAGTTGGCCATCGAGCAGTGCCGTCTTCCTTATCGTGTTTCTTGCTCCCAACTTTTCAATGCCTCCTGGCCCAAGTCCACAGGCTCTCCACCGCGCAGGTGCTCTTGACGGCCATGATCACATGACTGAGCACGGGATAATACAGCAGTCGCATTCGTAGTTACCACAGTCGCAGGGAATGCATGGTTTCGTGGGTCCTTGGACGCCTTTCTTGATGCTCGAGGTTGAGGAAGTGGATGGAGGCATTAGGGTGGGACGGGAAAGGCTTCAGCTGGGCAAAAGTCAACTGGGAGGGTAAACCGACGCGGCGTAGGTATATACGTACCTTGTAACAGATCTGACGGGTCTGCAATGTAAGTAAATGGATTCAAGTTCGTGGTGGTTGTGAAAATGAGGTGAGTTGAACCGCAGCTCGTCGGATCTCGATAGGAAGTGAATTGCCGTCTTCAGCGCTCTACTATCGCGCCTCTACTCTTGCGGCACCCGACAGGATTGTGAAAATGAAGTTTGTTGAACAGGTTGAACCAGGTCGTCGATTCGCGAAAATAAGTGAAGTACTATCTTCCGTGCTTTGTTGCTCAAGGGCGCACCCTGACGGTATTAACGTGTCAATCCTGAGCACTGACAAGAAGGCGACCCCACTGAACAATTGCGTTTCGCTGGGTAATACTTACACGCAAGCTGGGCTCAGTGAGCTTTGCCAGCCCGTCAGGCGGGCGAAAGGAGCTAGACTAGGCTTGACTAGGCTGGAAGGCTAGTGGGCTCCCTAACAAGTACAGCCGGCTCAGGGAAGCTTAAGGACCTAGTCGCCAGCTCGCCAGCTAGGGAATTGCTCAGTACCTCGTATGATCCGCACACGTGTTTCGGACCAATCGTGGCGGGACGAGAAATGCCCTGTGCGAAGGAACAGACGCCCGATGACCCAGGCCTTTTCGACCCTGGAGCTTCAACTGGCCAGATGAAAGTAGCTCTGGGAGATTCATGTAGGAGAAAAGGTAATTTCCCCCCCCAAAGATCCATAGCAGTTTTGTCCAGCCCGCAAGTTTCTGCAATCTTCACAGCAGTGTGATGGTCTTCGCCTGTGGCAAGTCCGTTCGGCTTCGGTGACACACTTTCAGCCTCGTCCGCTCAAACGCGCCTAAATGGGTCCCCAACAGGAGAGAAGGCCTTCCAGATACCAATTCATCTTCCTTAACTCATCTAGGCTATCCTGCGGCTGCATTCTGATACGAAACGGTCCTTCGTGCTCGACCTCGTAGTCGGTGTCGAACACGGACGACCTCTAAAATGCCCTCCTTCAAAGCCTCGCCATATATTCGCAACAATGCGTCTCTCACAAATCTTATCGAACAGAGACTTTTGGCTGACCGAACCTATTTCCGACAAGACCATACCTCAAGAAGCCATTCTTTCGCACACGTGGCGAGATAAGACTCGAGAGCTTAACTTTGAAGATATGGAAGGCGGTTCACCTCGAGACAAAGGTGGATACGAGAAGATCGAGTTCTGCAGCAAACAAGCTACTAGAGATGGCTTACAGTACCTCTGGGTGGACAGCTGTTGTGTTAAAAAGTTTCTACTGATGCTGAGCTTTCCGAGTCTCCCAACTCCGCGTTTGTTAGCACCAGCGCGCCAAGGTGTGCTACGCTGATGTCTCGATAAGCAAGAGGAAACGAGATGGGACCTCGGTGGAAAACGTGGGAAGAAGTCTTTCCGAGCAGTAGGTGGTTCACTCGGGGTTGGACGCTTTAGGACCTCCTTGCGCTGGCATCAGTGCAATGCTTCTCCAAGGAGGGCAGTCTACTTGGTGATAAACAGTTTCTCGCGCACTCGATCCATGAAATAACGGATAGTCCCATTTTTGCACTTCGTGGGACCCCCTTATCTCAGTTCAACGCTGAACAGAAATTTACTGGGGCAAAGAACCGTAAGACGACAGGCGAAGAAGATTGGGCGTACTCTCTTCTCAGCATCTTCAACGTCTCCATGCCAGCATTATATGGCGAGGGCAAGGAGAACGCATCATGTTGACTTAACAGGGAAATCAAGGATCGTGCGAAGGCACCGGCAGAGATTCCTCTGAAGGGCTTCCGATTCTTCGAAACGACTTGGTCTTCTTGCAAGAACGACTTTTGGTCCGTGCTGATGTACAGCCTTTTAACGAGGCGTTCAGCTGCGATGGGCACGTGCGTGTCGTCTTTCACGGCCTTCCAGGCATAGGGTAGGCAAACCTTTTACGTTGAGATGTCTCTCAAGAAGCTAATTCATAGGACATGATATCGACTAGGGCAAGATCATTTGCATTCAGGGTCCAGAGAACTATGGCCATTCTTTGGATGCTGGTAATTCCGAGGCAGCTATAAAACAAGCATTCGAACAGTATGTGATGCAGATGTGCGGGAAACGACCAGCGGATGTTGGAGCCCATAATTCCCATTGCTCGTCAGCTATCCAAAAGTCTTTCTAGCCGATAGGTGGTTGTATTTGATGGCCTAGACCATCCTCTTATCAACGTTCCTCAACACCTGTTTGTCGACTTACCGGAGAGCAAAATCCTTATTACAGCAAAGAACAAGGATTTAGCCTTACATCTCAAGGCACGTGATTTTCCGATGAATCTGCTGAATGAACAACTTGGTCATGACCTCCTGGATCTGTACGTGGACACAGACTCAGCTTCGCTTACTGCTGGCCAAGCCATCTAAGAGGAACAGGTTCCCAGGGAAACGGAAGCAAGAAGACGCATCTTAAAGGAGCTTAGGGGCCTTCCGTTAGCGATCGCCATCGCAGGTGCTGCTTTACGGAAGGAGAGTGGCATTCCCAGCATTCACAGCTAAGCCTACCTTGCTTGGGCTGATGAGGTCCATAGCATTTTACTTGGGGAAGATCCGATGTTTTCCGATTCCTCACCGTCAGTTTGGAAATCCTTCCAATTCGCGTTTCAGGGTATCCTGCAAGGCCCTATGATCGATGAACATGCAGCGTTTCTGGCATATTTCGTAGCGTCGTGCAAGAACGCCTCGAATTTCTCAGATTACATCCGCTTGTATCCCAAATTCAGCACTAAAACGCAGCGCGTACCCAATCCGCCACAACCCCATGCCATCCTGTCAGCGGTCTGCTTCGTTTCCTTGAGATTGGGGTTTTTGAGCTCGCAATCAAAAACCTGGCTGCAGTGAACATGGTCACAGTAAACCGAATTTCCGAGGAAAGGTGGGCTTAATGACGTGCCTTCTATCGAGTCACTCCCTAGTTAGGAGATGGCTTCGTATTACGAACCATGGTAAGGTTTTTACCTACACTGGCTCGAAGATGTGGTTATTGGGCTTCGGCATGTATGACCAGTTGAATTGTAGTGCGGTCGCAACATCGCGGTTCGAACCTTTGTTCCAAGAACTTTCAGAGACTCTCACTGAAAAAGTCCTAGGAAGCTTTATTTTTGTCAAGTGCCAATGGAGGCTGTCTTTCCGTTGATGCTTGACGCGCAAATTAGATTGTCGGTATCAATCGACTTTTTTTACCGGCAACATCAACGCAGGGTAGCCGCCTGCATCAGTTCTCAGGGAAACTGAAATCCGAGATCACGAGTTCATATGATGGAAATCTCAAAGATATTGATTGGAATTCGGTGCCCCAAGAGTCAGGATATCGTTGGGTCCGACGCTCAAAGGGATGACTCTTTGCTTAAGGACTTCTTCTCGATACCTTGGACTCCTATGGATGCATCCCTATTGCATTTCGGTAGCGAAGCTCCTTCTGAGTTACATTGTGTTGGTCAAACAGGAACGATCGGAGTGATCAAGGCAGACATCACAGCGCACGAGCAGAGTCTTTGCTGATAGGACATCTTCCTCAAGATGCTTTCTGGCAGTTACCCGCTATCACCCCCCATGAGCGTAGCGCGTTCATTCGTGCATGGTCTCAAAGATGAGAGAGGGTTGTGGCGGACATCATCCGAAAGTGCTTAGCGGAAGTGATTGTTGAACTTCAGCCCAATGCAAACACTCAATGCTTCGCCACTGCATTTTCTTCGCCATCAGATAGTGCAACGGTAACGAAAGATCGGAATTTCGAGGCCTTTCACAGCTCATGACCAGTTCGAGCGACCTCAGAAATACTTTCTTTGTGGTTCGTCGCCGGACTGTGAAATCAGCAACGGGACAATTTCTAGATTCTTGTCTAGCGGTTTGGATATCGGATGAGACGAAAGACATCCTTAGAGATATGCGAGCGCGCGATACGGGAAGGCTTTGGCGATCGAGCAGCTGATGCCTTTCGTTCTCAACCGATCTCCGCTGAAGGTGGAACAGACACGGTTTTTAGCAGGCTCTGGGAAGTAGCTTGGCCTGGATAATTTCCAGAAGGTCTGGACGATTTGATAGCCGCAGACGTTCAAGGCCATTTCTTACGACCTGGAGACCGCAGCAAAGCAAGGATTCCTCACCCCCTTTGAGGCTTACATTGCGACAATTCCTCATTTGCAGAAAACCTAGTCGATGCGGTCTTCAGCACACCAGCAATAAGCAACACGTTTCCTAACCGGATAAGTTCTGGGTGGATTGGTCCCTTAAATGACGACGATGACTTGGGTGACGAAGAGCCGAGTTACATCAATCGCACGAATCTAAGCAGCGAACAATGTCCGCAATGTGGTGCATCTACGACGACCGTGTAAATGTCGCAAATAACGACACAGCGGTTCTAGCGTTGGAGTCGACGTTGAGTTGTCGAACATTAATCCACAAGGAGGTCGTGGAAAACTCCACCAATCCAAACGAACAGGCATGGGGCCATTCTTCGCAAAGACGCACCTCAAGACTGCGATAAACGTCTTCGTTTAGCATGTTCAGTTCTCCGACATTGTGCATCCGAGGACCTCATGGGGAGCCTGGATCACCTGAAAAATGTTGAAAATGCTTGGAATCCTTCCAATGTCCCATAGATCCTATGGATTACGATAGAAAGGGATGAGATGATTAGAAGAACTTTGGTCTACTGAGCGACCTTCCGTATTGGCCTAAGCTATACTACCCTTGTGACAATAGAGTAGAGGCGATATGGAGAAGTCTCCAAACCTATAGATTGCACAATATGGGAGAACTAGGCTTGCAAGCGCGATGAAGAGACTCGCTGCAAGGACAATGCTTGGACAATGCTATATATGCATGTGGGAGGGTTGCAAGAACGAGGGTACGCTAGCAAGGTGTCGGTACTGGTGAGATGAGATAACCGACGAGCTGCTGGCAGCATGGAGTGGATCGCTGTGCCCGGAGTAGCTTAATGCTGCTCGAGGGTCGCTCCAAGGGGGGGCTCAGTGAGGCTGGTAGGCTGGTGGGCTAAGGAGGCCCACTACCGAGAAGGTTGGAGAGGCTCACCTGAAGACTGCTAAGACTCAGTTAAAACTCAGGTTAAAGCGGCTCTTGCCTTCGCTCACCCTCTGGGATCGAACCCTATTTAGAGAGCAATTTTTCTGCCTCGGGGTTCTGGCCTGTGACAGCAACGGGAAAACGACAGCACAGAGCAGCGTTTCCTTCCCAACCGAATGCCCTAGCCCGTGCATCATACAAATTGGTTGGGCTACTTATGCAAGGGGTCCCCGCCTGACTTTGGTCGATGAGCAGCATTACGCACCTGCTAAATTTATGGACAAAAGAGACTACATCCCAATGCCATGCCGATAATGCACCTCTTACTGCGCCTGGCCTTACTTGCTGCCCATTTCTTGTATATCACAGCATGCTTTTCCATCCCGGGAATCACAATACCCACGCAGACCACTATTACACCTGCTTCTCCAGCACCAACTACTTTCAATGGCCCTCTAATGCCATCCAACCGCAATTATGGATTGTTCGACCGCCCGTTGCCTCCTCCACTATTTGATGCCAACGGACTGCAGGAGGAGGTGGTCTGAAGAGGGAGGGAAAGGGCTCCACAATGTGTGGCACACAAGCACACGTAAATCGGCGCACATCCTCTCATTTCTCCCCTTTTCAAGGAGCTCTACCGTGATGATCTGAAGGACTTTGGCAGACCAACAGGGACAGCACAAGCTGGGCAGGATGCCAAGTCGAATTACGAACGGATGCTCGAGCTGGGAACTGGGTTATTATACTACTGCCCAGGTGGACATCTCACGGTATGTCCTGATTAATACGCCACACCATAAAGCCGCAGTGGCTGAGCCATTCATCCTTGATCGTAAATGCCTTTCGCCCTCGGAATACCGCACACTAAACCCATTTCTCGCGCTCGATTGTCAGCAAACATCATCAGCAGCGGATTCCAGGTCAGGTTTGCTCGCTGCTCATCGATTTTCACGTGCTTCAGCCTTGGTCAATGACATATTGCAGTGGGGCTGACCCCGACAATGAGAAAGAATTGGCATGAACGACACCAACGGTGGTACCTGCGTAATGACGTCTGCAGCTGTTATTATGTTCCCTCTTCCACAGAATTGACATCTAATTATTATCTCGAGGACCCCGTCTCCCACTGTCGTTGCCATCCTGATCCCCAGTCTACACCAAGACATTTCTCCGTGGGCGGCTTTCACGAACCATGACCTTCAGTCCTTTCTTCTGGCTCTACGCCATTCTGCAATGGGTTCTCGACAAGATATTTTCGCCAAACCCACCACCTCCTGATGTGCACCTCCGTCGTCCTAAAATTGCAGTGATCGGTGCTGGTCTCACTGGTGTCTCTGCAGCAGCCCACTGTGTTGGCCACGGTTTTGAGGTGACTATATTTGAGGCCGAAGATCAAAACCACGTCGGCGGAATCTGGACACAAGTGAATACAACTTCTGGCCTCCAAATCCACAGTATCATGTACCGGTTCCATCCCTCTGTTCAATGGACCAGAGGTTACCCAGAGCAACACCAGATCGTCGATCAAGTCCACCAATTGTGGCACCGATACGAACTCGATCAGAGAACGGTGTTCAATACAAAAGTCGAGAAGGTCTACAAGGATCAGCAAGGCCGGTGGATCATCAACAACCCTTCGAATGGCCGGTTTGATGGTATCATACCGGCAATTGGGACCTGTGGGGCTCCGAAAATGGCGCATTTGCCAGGCCAAGAGACCTTCAAGGGGGACATTTTCCATTCTTCAGCCTTGGACGGTAAAGATGCAAAGGGCAAGAGGATCCTCATCGTTGGAGGTGGCGCCAGTGCGGTTGAGGCATTAGAGTGGGCTGTTAACACGGGAGCTGCAGAAATTAAGGTGCTGGCAAGATCCGACAAATGGATTATTCCCAGAAACGCTCTGGTGGATGCACTTCTTGCCTTCAACGTATTCGGTCAAGAGACCCTACTGTCATGGATTCCTGAGAATCTCCTACGCATATTTTTCTACCGCGACCTCAGAGATATAGCGCCGGCAGATCAGGGCCTATTCACGGAGACCCCCATGGTCAACTCGGACATCTTCAAGCAAATACGTGCCGGGAAAGCAGCTTGGCTCCGGGGAGATATGGAGGAGGTGCGCGAAAACGGTATCTTCTTCAACCACCGCGCTAAGGGTGTACCCAAAGGAGGCCCCGGGCGGCACAAGCTGGTCGAGGGGGATATGATCATCATGGCGACCGGTTACAAACGTCCAAGCCTCGACTTTTTGCCCGACGACGTTTTTGCCGATGGCTATCAGCCCCCGCGATGGTTTCTCCAGTGCTTTCCTCCGGCAGCGCCTTCAATTTGCGCAATCAATTCGACCTACGTATCGGCCATCGGGTGAGTGTGGTATGGCTTTTCGCAATGACGATGACGACTGACTTCGTTGTTCCAGAACCGTTGGCAATTACCATATTGGGATCTACACCCGGATGCTCTTGACGTTCCTGATCGACCCTCTGACGACTCCTCGAACTTGGTGGATGGAGCGATGGGTGGACTTTACCAGTGCGATAAAATCGTTGGCTCCAACAAAAAGCCTTTGACTTCTTTACATACTCGGAGCTGCTCTACTGGTTCTGCTTCATTACGCTTGTCAACCCGTTTAGATGGAAGTGGGCGCTTTTCGTATTCTTCGGGATTGGGAAAAATTTGCCGGCCAGCATTGTGCAGCAAGAGGACAAGCTGCGGAACGGATTGGGGTTCAGCAAAGACCAATCATCATGATTAGAGATTAACCGGTGGAGCTTAGACGACTACATGGTAGTATGTGTGTCACGGTACGAGGTCCAATCAAAGAGTTGAGCCAGTGCTGCTCTGTTGTGGAAGATCTTTGGAGTCTTCTTTTCCTGCCATTATTACCACTACATAGTTATGGTATCACAGACCTGCCTCTTGGCATTTGTTGTCATATGACGGCAGATTGAATGTAGTATCAACTGCCCACAAATCTCAACCTTTTCAGATTCCTATCAAAGTACTAGTAGGTACTAGTAGTACTTCGTCCTGCAACTCAGCGATTCATTGCTGTTGTGGCTGTTTTCAATGAGTACTACTGGGTGGATCTGTGACATTTAGGAAACGGCTGAGTCGTACTATCGAAGAATGACGTCAGATAAAGCTCGAACCTGAACCCGAATTTGCAGTGCCCGTCCTGTTTCAATCACTACGGATACTACTACTATGTAGTCATGACTGGAAAGAGACCTTTGAGTTCAAGTCCATCACTAAGTGGTCGTGTCGTGCATTTTCGAGCTCGAGCCAACAATCCGCCCGCTCTTCAGCCAACTTACTAGCATTCCCTTGCTTCATTACAGTACCAGCATTGCAGAACCGATACCTCCTCGTTCCTCACACATTGAGACGTCAATATTATGGACGATCCAGGTTTGATAACAACCAATTCCAATCGAGATGCCGAACTCTGACAAAAATGCAGTGGCCGATATCCCTCAGATCATTGAGACTCTTTGCACAGCTTCGGCAGCTGTCCAGAGGGGAGCAATCGAGACTTATTTCACACCCAACGCATCCTTCACACATCCGTTTTGCAGAACGGGTAGCTTTCCTGGCTCGATATGGCTGATTATCATGATTTACCGGTGGTACAAAATTCTGAGCCCGCATATTGATGTTGCGGTTGACAGCGTTGGTAAGTGAATGACACTCTTAGTACATTGTACTACTATGTATACTGACGAAGAGCAGCATTTGATGAACAACACCTGCGCCTCTACGTTTCCCTTCACCAGAACTTCAAGCTCTGGGTGGTTCCCTTCTACAACGCTCCAGTCAAACTCGTCACTGTCCTCCAGTTGACCACTGATCCGATCCTAATGCCTCCAGATCCTCAGGAGAACCTGACTACTAGTGTACTCAAAAATGGAAATAAGCATGGAGCACCCGATTCCTCTCATGGTAATGCCGAGCAGAGAGATGAGGCCGAGTCCGCTGGCACACCCCGCAAAGAGGCCGATGATGGTGATAGCGACAAGGTTAAGTACTACATCCAATCTCAGAACGATCTATATCAGACCACCGAATTCATCAAATTCCTTATTCCCTGGGGAGTCGGTGTCGTCCTATTGATCACCTGGCAATTCTGCGCAACATTATTCTGTGTGGTTGGCACCAAGGTCTACGATCTCCTCGTGTGGCTGCCACAAAAGCTCTACCGCCAACACTCTGGGGCTTTTGACAACAACCCGAAAGCACATCCACATCTCGGCGACTAGATATGCCGAACATGGTGCTCGAAAATAGACGTATCTCATTAGAGAGGAAATGCAGCATGGGCCCTGGAATCAACCGCGCAATGCAGAAAGCCTGAATTAAGCACTATGAAGTACGGATACTACTAGAATAGAAGAATGTTACATTACCCGCCGTAGGGACCGATGTGAGACGGGGGAGGACATGACCCTCAGGAGAACTGCAGGAGGACCACTGATAGACTGCTTTGCTTCAATGATATCCCCGGAAAATAGTAGGGTAGAAGGGTTAGAAGAAAAAGGATTGTAAATACTGGTACATAAGACTACTAGTAGTAGTACATACTGGTATTAATATCAAGTTTCCGAAGCGTTGAGGGCTTCATTTTCACTAGTCGATGTTGGAGGAGAATAATCTCTACCAGGAGGAGTACTGCGTAGCGAAGTCAGAGTAAACGCACCACGATTTTTACTTAAAGCGGTACTTTAACCGACCAAATCTAGATGAGCCCCTAAGTAATCACGTGCAACTTGGATCTGGATATTTAAAGTTCAAGTTTCGTATCAAACTGAATTGAAAGACAAATTAACGTAGGTCCTTCAAAAGCAGAACAACTCCTACATAACTACTAATAACTGTATTAAATATATAAAATATATAAATTGATTCGATTTGGTTCGAACCGATCTCGAATCGGGTTAAATCAGTCTAGCCCGCCTATAAACCCCTGAAATCAAGTTCGGCCCAGGCCAGAAACCGGGCTGGAAACTGGGGTGGAACCGGTTTAACAGTAGGCGGGCGGGCAATATAGAACCTCAAGACCGAGATCTGCCCTCATGTTGACCAAGTGCAGAAATTCGAAATCTCCATTGACGAATCACTGGAACTAAATCGAGCATCGCGAGCTCGGTACAAGAGACCTGCGCTCTCTCTTTAGGCTTCTCTTGACAGAGATACGGCTGTGCGCCTTGCGAGCTTCAGCCTTGTCTACATGCAGGCTGGACGTTGGTTAGAAGCCGAAACTTTGCAGGAAACTGTCCGCCCGTTCGTTCTGCAATTAGTAGTGCCTTGACAAAAAGCATTGATATACTAGTACTAACTTTTCTTCTCTCGGATACGCTTTGGCAGCATGGGCGAGGCGACGAGGCAGCGACACTTCAAGCAAAGGTCCTCGAAACTCTGTCGCCAAACCAGGAGCCACGACGACGTGAAGACCCTGAAGGTCCTATGATGCGCTCGGCGGAAACTGTTGGCTTTAGGAAAAGTTCTCGATTGCACTCCTGTACCAAGAGGCTGCTACTGGCCTCGACCGATGCAAGGGAAGTGGTTAAGGCCATCTTGGGCGGGTCCTTGCAAAGCATTCGAGCTACTAGTACATAGGAAGGTTATCCACGGCCTAAAAGGAGCGTATGGCGCCTCGCATCTAGAAACGCTTGTCGCAATGAACAACTTGGCCATGTCGTTAGTACTAGTATCTAGACCGCTTCATGTACACCAACGGCCCCGGAAGTGACCCTGGGCTCGCGCATGATACTATCGATGCACACGTCGTTAATGCCCAAGAGCAGGGGCGAGACCTAGAGCAGACCTACGCTCTCTGGGCCATGTAATCTCGCCCATGTGAAAGTCGACCAAGGTACTACTAAACACTCATATAAGTTGGGTACATGATGACCAAAGGCATTCAGGTTGTTATGATCAATCTGGGACCCAAGCATACTGGGACCTTTGTTTAGCTGGGACCTTTGTTTAGCTGGGACCTTTGTTTAGCTGGGACCTTTGTTTAGCTGGGACCTTTGTTTAGCTGGGACCTT